AAAAAAAAAAAAAAAAAAAATCTTACAAGAGGGAACTGGCTGTCGCTGTGTTGTTTTCTAGACTGACTTGATTTATGGAGAATCGGTCTTTAATTATATCAGTATAATCAGGACCGTCACAGAGAATATTCTATAAGTTCTTCTTAGGACTTTGGCCCTAAGGAGAAAGATCCTGAAAGGAGTCTGGATGCTAAGTCCCATTTCTTTCTTGCTGAGCAGTCCACCCTGTAGCCAGGGTTGAGATAACCTACTTTAGAAGGAAATTCCCAAAGGACTTCGGGAATGGTCATGGGGAGGAGGAGGCAAAAAGTGTCCGCCACTGCTCCTGAGGGCACGTCACTGTGCAGGTGTCCTGGTGTGTCTTGTACGCATCCAGTTTCCCTCTGAGCACCGATCTGTGTTGCAGGTTCTCACCAGAGAATACAGAACTTCTTACGACTTTGGGATTACTCTACTTACAGGTAATAAGAACCCTTTACTCATTCGTGCACTGGTGTTAGAAATGCTTTTGGATGTGTGTGGATTGTGGTTTCCCTGAATTTTGATTTTACTTTAACGCATCTTCCTAACGGCCATGTGAACCTTACTCTCTGCATCTGATATTTTTTATCTGCTAAAGGAAGTACTTTTCTGCATTCAAATCAGAAGCAAATAAGCCTGCTTGAGGCTACTTACCCATTTAAGGAAAGAGCATTTATGAGAAATGACCGGTCAGTGGGGCTGGCATGGTGTTGCTGGGGAGAGAAAGCCTGATGCAGGCTGGCGCTGGCCAACGGGCTTTGGGGCAGAGTCCGTTTCCACCCCTCCTTCCCAGCCAGATCTTACAGGAACGAGAAGGCAAAACACTGTCTCGAATAAGAAGTCTCCTGTCCCCTCCGTGTTTTCCTAAGCACAAATGGCATCTTTTTAGCGCCTCCACTTCTCTGTATCAGCCTGCAGATCCGAGGCCCAGGGATCCCTGAGGGTCTGTCCCTGTCCTGCCCCCATGAACTCCCCAAGTTCCCTGCTCAGCTGCTCCTCCAGCTATGCCTCTGTGGTGGCCTTTCTGGCTGTTTTGTTTTTCTTTAAAAGGAATCAGGAGCTTAACCCTAGGCCTTCCTGGCTTTGGCTTGGGAGGTTGGCCCCAGGGGAATGAGGCTAACCAGCCCCTTTCCTGCCAAGAGGCATTAGTGTGCAAAGCGTGGCAGAGGTGGTTCCTGGCAGATAGATACTTTGACCTTATCAGGAGACAAATCAACAAATAAGGGGATTTTTAGTTTTCTTTTTTTATCTGGTATCTGTAGCTGCTTTTTTTTTTTTTTTAATCATGAGACCTCAGAACGTCAGTGTGTTTCTGTTCAGGGTGTGGTTGGCCAGACTCCTTAACTGCCATCTCCCCCTGATGTAATTCTCTGGTTTGCTTTTTCTCCAAGCTCGGCATTTACCAGAAGGCATTCGAACATCTTGGAAATGCACTGACCTATGACCCTACCAACTACAAGGTATTGCAGGCCGTCAAACCCCAGAGCCTTTACTCAGATGCTCCCACTGCTGCCAGGGGCGATCTGGCCCTCGAGAGCATTTTGGATACCTGAGAAATTACCTTTTTCTTAGAAAAGTTTTAAATAGACATGGCCCTTCTTATCTGAAGATGTTGTAAAACGTTAGCGCTCTGCTTTGTTTTCTAAAAGAGCACGTGTTATAACAGGCCTGTAACTTCTGCAGAGAATGAGGTCGTAGTGCTGGTGAGGTTTGTGTGCTGCTTAGGGAGTGAGCAAAGCCTCCACGACTGCCGTCAGAGGTCATTCTGGTGACATAACTTCTGGATTCTTAATGGACTGGCGATGACAACTCTCGTCCAGGTACGACTCTGGAGCTGAGAAGATCGTGTAGAAGATGAACATGATGGAGGGAGATGCAGCCGAACGGGTTTGATGTCAGACACAGACTCGTCCTGTCTGAGAAGTCATAGAAGGCGTGTTAACTCCATCAGCTCCCCACCTTGACACCTTTCCTTGGACAAATGCAAGGGCCAGCCTGATGACGCCTGAAGCTTGCTCACCCTGTCCGGTGGCCAAAGGAGCTATACCTTCAGTGGTCAAAGACGGGAGTTTCTGAATTGTCTAGAGCACTTGGGGTACCACGTAGGGAGTTCAGGGGGCAGATTAAAGGCTGTTTTTCCTCAAAGGGCCTTGACTCTGAAATGTTGACTTCCTTGACCGGAAGTAGGAAACAAATGAGCCAAGTAGGGTCACTGACATTTTCTCTTTTCTTTTTCTGGACTGTGCTGGAGAAAGCCACGGTGAGGTGCAGGGACATTCCTCATCAGCATTTATCCCAGTAGCTTAAATATACCTTTTGTGTCCCCGGAAGAAGTACCCTGTTGAGTACCTACACCCAGAATGTCTGCTTCACCACTATAGCCTTTTGGGAACGGCTGAATTACAAGTTGTCCATGTCCTGTGTTTGCAGGCCATTTTGGCAGCAGGCAGCATGATGCAGACCCACGGGGACTTTGATGTTGCCCTCACCAAGTACAGAGTTGTAGCTTGTGCCGTTCCAGAAAGTCCTCCACTCTGGAACAACATCGGAATGTGTTTCTTTGGCAAGAAGAAATATGTGGCAGTGAGTGTCTCCCCACCTTCCTTGTTCGTGTTCATACACGCAAGTTACTGGGTCTGCCGGGCCTACCCTGGCCTCTCATCTCGTGTCCCATCTCTCCTGCAGGCTATCAGCTGCCTGAAACGAGCCAACTACTTGGCACCCTTTGATTGGAAGATTCTGTATAACTTGGGCCTTGTCCACTTGACAATGCAGCAGTATGCGTCAGCTTTCCATTTCCTCAGCGCGGCCATCAACTTCCAGCCAAAGATGGGGGAGCTCTACATGCTCTTGGCTGGTAAGAGACACTTAGGTGGAAAACCCCCTCCGTGGTTTGTGAGGAGGGAAAATGACTTAGAATCATAAGAGGCCAGTGGTTAAGTGTCCCAGAGAAGCCACTGCCTCGCAGATCCCACAGGAATCTAGATTAGTGTCCTAAAGCCTGAAAAAGATGACAGACTAGGTAGTTGCTTCTAGCCTGCAGGCATTTCACTCAGAGACCAACAGGTTAAATCAAGATCATCCCTAGTTCATCTGTTACCAGTGGTTTTCCCTTGGCTGACAATTCATTTATATAAAGAGGAGGGGTGGAGAAAAAGAGTGAGAGTCTAGCTATAAATTCCAGATACCATCTAGTGTTAAGAGCTTGGGCTGTAGGAAGGGTCCCATTTCCACTACTTACTGGATTTCTAGTAGAGAGGGAAGATTATGTAATAAATGACCAGTGACTAGTAGCTATTGGTTTTGTTGTCACTATATCATTGGCCTATTATTAATGTGAGTGTTACTATAACGTTGAAGTACTGATAATATTCTTTCTGGGGGTATTTCTCCACTGGACTTACTAAGTGTAAGCCCAAAAGCACTTTCCTTATTCCCGTTGACAGGTGGTGGTGGTGGTTATTATTATTGTGGGGAACTTATTTATTAGAGAACGGTTGCAAAAGCAAATTGAATGGTGGTTAATTGGGGGTTGCCTGAATACAAAGCGAGCTCAGTTCTGTGAACAGATAGCCCTACTGTAAGGCACGAGCCACACTTCTAACTCCCAAACTAGAGCTGGCCTTCACACTGCAGTTTGAAGGCTAAGCTGGAACTCACTGGCTCGGCCATCGTGGGAACAAAGGCGTGCAGCCGTGGCCGCACCATGTGTCCTGCGGCGAGTGGGCGGTCGTGTTGTGTGGTGTAGTGGGGGAGGAGTCAGGAAAGCTGGTCTAGGGCCACATGAAGTGGGAGGCGGGCAGGAGAAGAATGCTGGGACTCTGGCCTTTTATCCTAGAGGCCAAGGTTTTCCAACCGTATTCCTAGATCTTCTCTTAAGTGTCCAGGAGAGTTGAGTGTGTAGCTTGGTGGGGAGGTCGGGTGGGCCTGGCTTTCAAAACAGCTCTGTTTTTCTTTGTTTTATACATCAGGTTTCCAGAAAATGCTGATTACAAAGGAGAGTGTGTTCTGTTGCTATACAAACGTTTATAAAGATCATGGTTGTGGGTAATGGATTCTTAAGTAGGGTGGTGTGACACAGTCAGATTTGTTTGTAAGGCAGGAAGACTCCTGGCAGCTTGGTGGCAAAGTGGATGGAGGCAGGTGGGGACATTGCTGTGGGGAAGAAATGGAAAGCCTGAAACAATTTGCATCTGAACAAGGGCAGTGTCAGTAAAGAAAAGTACAAAAAACAGGATTCGCAGGACTTGGCTACCGACTGTGGAGAGACACCATCGAAGCAGGTGACACCGGGCATCTAAGCTGAGTGACCGAAGGCGGTCGTGCCAGGAGCCAAGACGGCAAAGGAGGAGTTCAGTTTGGGGGTTGAATGAACTGTGGTCTTGAAACATTCCTTTTGTTTTCCACACGGGGCTCCCCAGTCACAGTGCCCACTTTGTTGCAGTGGCTCTGACCAATCTGGAAGACCCAGAGAACGCCAAGAGAGCCTACGCGGAAGCCGTCCGCCTGGATAAGTAAGCTGCTCTGTCAGGAGTGGTACTGGGGCGGGTCGGACTCTCAGAAGCCACCAGGTGGCGCCACAGCCCAGTTGGGGCGTGCGGGGCAGTTGAGCAGCGGCCCAGATGCCTGCTCTGGGGGTCAGTGGGGGGGCCTGACTGCAGAAGGATGTGGTCCTTAAGCACACGGTGGCTCAGCGGGAACAGACACTGGCTCTTTCTGAGAAAATGTTTCCAGGAGCTGGCAGTGGGCTTCGGGTGCTGATAGCCATGGGCTAGCTGGAATATCAGATAGGACTCTGGACTTAGTTTAAGATCAACTTAACTCTCCTGGGATTTATTCTGCTGGCATCTGCCAGGCAGCAGGGTAGGGATCCCCTTTTCAAACCTGACCTGGTGGCCTCCGTTGAGGGCTGAGACATCACACTTGGTCCCAATACCTCTTGCTCTGCTGGTTGGGCAGTTACTTCCTTGATGCTTCTCCAAAGGTCCACACGGCACGCGTGTTCTTACCTTGCTGTGGAATAGAGAAATGTCTACGTAACCAGTTTTTGTTTTTTGTGTAACGAGAGGGATCTCTGAATGACCACTGGTTGCAGAGCCTGAGCCCCACGGAATCCGTTTGCCACAGGTGTAACCCGTTAGTAAACCTCAACTATGCTGTGCTGCTGTACAACCAGGGCGAGAAGCAGGGTGCCCTGGCTCAGTATCAGGAGATGGAGAAGAAGGTCCACCTGCTGCAGGACAGCAGCTCTCTGGAATTTGACGCCGAGGTATGTCTTTTATTAGCTCCTGGGAGGCTTCTGAATGAAGCCCAAATAATCCAGATATCAGGTATTCTATAGGTTTATGGTCATTTTGGCTCTGATGTTCCTGGCAGCATGAAATCTCCAATTAGGAACATCCTGAGAAAAAACTTCCCTAGAAGAAAATAGTAAGAGGAAGTTCAGGCTTACGGAGTTATGTTATTGATAATACAACTGATGTGAGGTCTCTGTCTCTTTGCAGCTTCTCCTCACTTCTCCTTATGTGGGAAAGGCAGGAGTTGAGCTCTGTAAGGCACCAAACTTGAATTGTTAGGTTTTGAGATCCTATATGTGCTCCCTTGCCGTCCACTAAGGGCAGTCTGTATTCTCTGCTGTTTGAGAATGATTTCCTTGCAATAAATACTTTCTCTCTCAAATACTAGTACCGTTAGACATGATTTCACCTGCACTCCCTGGTGGAAGAGGTGGGTAGGCTTCACTCTGCCGGTCTTCTCCGTGACTCTTTTTTTCTTCCCATGTGGGGACAAGATGGTGGACATGGCCCAGAAGCTGGGAGCTGCCCTCCAGGTCGGGGAGGCACTGGTCTGGACGAAACCAGTTAAAGACACCAAGTCAAAGCACCGGACCACTTCAACTAGCAAAGCTGCCAGTCTCCAGCAGCCTCTGGGCTCTAATCAAGCCCTAGGACAGGCAATGTCTTCAGCAGCTGCATACGGGAAGCTCCCCTCAGGTAGGAGGCTGCGCACAGCTCCATGGAATCCTCGTGGGTACAAGCTGCATGTGCCAGCGAGAGATGACAGCTTTAAGTGAGGCTGACACTTCTCAGACTCAGAACACGTCCAAGTAGTATTCCTAGAAGGGGAAGAAGCCATATGCTGGCCAAATTGGCACTTGCTTCCTTAAGGCAAGTTGTGTCGGAGGGAACAGGCTTAGTCAGAGGTTTACAGTATTCAAGTTTAGAAGTACATGACAGCACCTTCTGTTCTGCTAAAGCAGTGACAATTAAAGCAAGATCGCATAAGTCAGCATTGCGCAGGTAATTAAAGATTTTTTCAGTGAGTCATTGAAGGCAAACTTGACCGTTGCTTTCTTAGCGATGGTCTAACTTCATAGCTGCAAAGATACGTCACAGTCCCCGCTGGTCCTCAAAGATACAGGGTTTCTTTTTGAAATTTGACAATGTGATTTCTTCAAGAACCGTGGAACTGAGAATTCAAGCTGTTTGTTTTGTTGCTAGGTGCTGGAGGAACATCCCATCTCACAAAGCCACCATCTCTGCCTCTGGAGCCACAGCCCACTGTGGAAGCACATCCAAATGAAGCATCTGCACAAATAAGAGAAAAATAGGAGTAGGATGACCCCGGACTATAGGTTTCTCTGGTGAGGATGTAGCAGATTAGGAAAGGTCACGCGACACAGGCAGCACGGACGCCAGTGTGTTCCCTGGGCACCAAGGACCGCAGGATGTGTTGTGATGACCCCAAGGGGTCTAGCAGCCTGAGGCCTAGCAGCCTCTCATCAGCCCCGTCAGCCGGGACCAGACAGGTCCTTTCAGAATTAAGAGCAGGGCTCACAGCTCTGTGTTTGTAGCTTCAAGAGCCAGCAGGGCACGTGATGCTGTTTGCTTCTGAAATGACCGTCATCTCCTGGATGACTTCCTCCTTCCTTTGCGGAAGGAAAGTCTGAGACAGACCTCTACTCATTAGCTCTGTTATGATGGAGCCTTGGCTTAGCTGAGATGGTCCTCAGACTGGGGGGCATGGCAGCCTCCAAGGCAAACAAATCTTGGATTAATAATCCAGCTCTAACACTCTAAATTTAAGGGGAAAAATGATGAAAAAAACCTCTGTATATTGAGGTTGAATATTCTAGCTATGCTTGTCCAGGGGAATCCAGAACAAGGCCCTGTGGCTTGTTCTTGAGAGAGGTCAGAGTGTGGAGTCAGATCATGTCAGTGTGATAAGAAGTAGGAGTGAAGGGCTGGTCTGGTATCAGCACCAGCGATTAAAAGGAAAGGAAGAGCTTCTTAACTAATTTTTATTTAAGACCATCAATGATACTACTGGCCAGATGCTATCAATTCATTATATGTCCTTTTTAGAATAAAGATTATGTATCATCATCCCTTTGGGAAAAGTTGTTAACTTAGGTATAAAAATAAGAGATCACAATAAAAACTTCTTAAAAGAACCTATGATCACAGTCTTACTTCCAAAACTAGTTTGAAACTAGAGAAGGAACCTCAAGGCCAAGTTCGTGTGTAGTACGAACATAGCTTCTGCTGCAGCAGCCCCGATGGATGGTACGCCAGCAATTTGCTTGAGGGCCAGTCCCCATTTGCACTTGAAGTGTCCTATAATTACCATAATTTAAAGGTGAGGACACCTATTGCCAAACCAAACTATGGAGTTTTTTATGTTATGACTCTGTCTGTTTTGACATTGAAGCAGCGGCTAAGTGAGCGGGAAACTCTTCAGTTCTCGTATCTCAGAAGTAAACACCAAGATGTCAGAAGCAATGCCCTGGCCCACGCAGCTGGTATGTGGAAGAACCAGGATTTATATCCTGAGCAGCTGAGAAAGCTCACTTTTATATCAGTGTGTAGTCTCTTGTGCCCATGAATGAAAAGGTCTTGGTGAGAAATGATTAGGGTATGAACTGAGAGATGGAGTAGAGGTGAGGGGGCCTAGAGTTTAGGAAGTGAAATCAGTAGAATATTGTTGGGGACTGGATGAAGCAGGTTAAGAAGACTGTCAGAAGGGCATCCACTGCTGGGAGAGTTCCATAAACCAGGGAAGAGGAATACGGGGGACACCAGTGGAGGCTTATGGGGTCTAGTTTTAGACGTGTTGATCTTTGAGACCTCCAGATGGTGACACTAGACACTGGAATAGATTTCAGATGTGAAATCTGGCTTGAAGATCAAGGTGCAGGAGTAATTTAATTTGGGCTCTAGCTGAAAGCACAGATTTGAAAGGAGCCCCCAGGGAAAGCGAGGATGGGGGACCCAAGATGGGAAACCGTATTGTGACAGTGATAGAAGAGACAAAGCCAGGAGAGTGGTGTTGGGGAAGGTAAGAAAAGGTTCAGGAAGGGAATGGTCACATGGAACCCTTCCAAGATACTGTCATCCCCACTCCATAAAGGAGGAAGCTGAGGTTGGGAGATGCAAAATGAATTTTCCAAGGTAAGTGGCAGGATCAGGATTTGAACTCCGATGCAAAGCTCCTGCTTTTTTAAGCGTTATCCATGCCTTTGTGGCATACCTTTTTCTTATTTTTTTTGATATTTCTAGGCTACATGGTTCATCTGAGTTTTCTCAAATTGCCACAAACCTCAAAAAAAACCTTTCCAATGTATTTACTGAAAAAAAAAATCCACATGTAAGTGGACCTGTGCAGTTTAAACCTAAGTTGTTCAGGGGTCAGCTGTACTAGGTTACACCTGCCCAACCTTTTGTGCATGTGGGTTTGCAGTTTCTCTCTCTGTGAAAAAGGAGCTTTTCCGATCTCTAGTTGTGGGAGTTGCTCTTGTCATAATTTTTCACAGAATTAGGAAAATGAGGCAAAGTACATGGTCACAAAATACAGACGTGGTTTTAGATGGCTTGAAAGTATAGGTATGAACTAGCAATGGGAAAAGTGCCCTTTTTACTGAATAGTATTAGTACAAAACTTTGGAATATAAGATTACAGTCATTTTGTTTTTAAGGAAGAATCATTATCCGATAATGGCAGAGTAGCTCATGTTGATCAGTCCTCCACAGATAACAAGTGTAAACAAGTGGGTAAATATAAAGCACTATCTTGGTTTAATTTTTTTAAAAATACTGTGACTGGGGCAGCTGAGTGGCTCAGTTAAGCATCCAACTCTTGATTTCGGCTCAGGTCATGATCTCACGGATCATGAGATCAAGTCCCACATCGGGTTCCACACTGACAGCCAGGAGCCTGCTTGGGATTCTCTCTCTCCCTCTCTCTTGCTTAAATAGGTAAACATTAAAAAAAAAATACTGTGTTCTAAGCAAAAAATTATATTGTGAGGTTTAACATAAATAAATGTAACTAAAGGAAGGGCAGGTACATGGAACTCAATGAGTGAAAAAGGTTTTTATATCTTACATGATGTGGTACAAAGTTATTCCTAATAGTTTGTGAAACGTTAAGGATGCCTAGAGCAACCGTTAAAAAGATGCAAAGAATTATAGCTAAAAAGGTGAGAGAAAAAATATTTAAAAAAATATTCAATTAACACCCTCCTCACCACTAACGGGCAGGAAAGGAAGAATAGAGGAACAAAAAAGGGAACAAAGAAAAAAATAAATAGCAAAATGTTAAATGTAAATCCAATCATGTCCACAATTACATTAAAATGTAATTAGACTAAAAAAAGTACTTGGACTAAACATTCCAATTGAAGAGTAAAGAAAGGATAAACCCAGCTATCTGCCACTGAAAGCGAAAGGATGGAGAATGTCGTATCTCAAGCTACAGGCCTAAGTCCAGAGTGCTATATTGATGCCAGATAAAGTAGATTTCAAAACCAGGAGCATTACCAAAAATAAAGAGGGACATTTCATAAAACCGCTCAATTCAGTAGAAGAAACATATACAGTATATGCACTTAACAGCATTGCTTCAAAATACATGAAGTAAAAACCGACAGAATTAAATCCCCAGTCATAATTGGATATGCTGGCACTCCCTCTTTCTGCAGTTGTTACAATTAGGAAGTGTAAAAGTACACATGAACCACCTTGACCTAACTGACATTTAGAGAACACTAGACCCTGCACATAGTACATTCAGCAGGACAGAGCATGTGCTGGGCCACATGACAGGTCTCAGAGTCGAAAGACTGAAATTTACACAATATGTTGACCACAGTGAAATTCTATTAGAAATTAACAAGATGTTTAGAAAACCCCTAAATATTTTGAAGCTAAACACACTAATAACTCACAAGCCAAGAAAGAAATCAAAAGAGAAAATACTTTTACAATGAAAACACAATTTGTGGGATTCAGCTAAAAGCAGTGCTTACAGGGAATCTTATAGTTGTAAATGCTTCTATCGGAAGAGAAAGGTAGAAAATCAGTGGTAGAGGTTCCTACCTTAAGCTAGGAAAAGAGCAAAATATACCCGAAATAAGAGTAGACAAATATTAAAAATCTAAAAAGCCAAAAGTTTGTGGGGAAAAAAAATGACAAGGGGCACTTGGGGTGGCTCAGTCGGTTAAGTGACAGACACTTGATCTCTGCTCAGTTCATGATCGCATGGTTTGTGAGATCAAGCCCATGTCAGGCTCTGCGATGACACTGTGGAGCCTGCTTGGGATTTTGTCTCTCCCTCTCTCCCTCTCAAAAAATAAGAAAGCAACAACAACAAAACCGCAGCTAAACTAATGAAGGAAGAAAAGAGACAAATCACCAATAAGAGGGAACAGCATTACAGATAGTATGGATGAGAGAAAGATCAAGGAATATGAACAATTTTAGAACAAAACGGACAACTTGTATGCAACAAAATCTGAAAAATAACTTACCGAAATTGAAATGAGGAAATGTAAAACCTTAGAAGTCCCATTCAAGGGGCACCTGGGTGGCTCTGTCGGTTAAGCATCCAACTTCGGCTCAGGTCACGATCTCACGGTTCGTGGGTTCGAGCCTCGCATCGGGCTCTGTGCTGACACTCAGAGCCTGGAGCCTGCTTCTGATTCTGTGTCTCCCTCTCTCTGCCCCTCCCCCGTTCATGCTCTGTCTCTGTCTCAAAAATAAACATTAAAAAAAAATTGTTTTTAAAGTCCTATTCAAGAAACTGAATTTATAAATCAAAACTTACCTGAAGCAAACTCTTGGCCCAGATGATTTAGCTGGTAAATTGTATTAAATCCAACTTGACAAAAATTTTTAGAAAATAGGAGCAAAAACTTTCCAACTTGTTTATGAGGCCAGTATAACCCTGATATCAAAACTGGACAAAGACATTACAGAATAAGGAAACTGCAGGCCACTCTGCATGAACATAGGTACAAAAGTCCTTAATATATTAGCAAATCAGTACTAGTGCATCAAATCCAGCAATATATAAAAAGGTAACTACGTACATCACGACTGAGTTGGGGTTATCCCAGGAAGTTAAACTCTTGGTTTAATATTTGAAAAAGTAGTTTCATGTGTTAACAAAATAGAAAAGTCACACAATTTCAGTAGATACAGAAAAAGCAACTTTTAAAAAGCCATCATAAAACCCCAGCAAATCAGGACTAGAAGGTGGCATCAACAACTTGACAAATGGCATCTGTGGAAAAAGGTGCAGTATCACATTTAACAGTAAAATATTGAATACTTTGCCCCTAAGAAGAGGACCAAGGTAAGGATGTCCGCTTTTACGACTTTTGTTCAACATTATACTAGAGGTTCTGGTCAGTGTTCTAAAGGCAAGAAATAAAAAGGCATAGGTAGAAAAGGGCATGGTTATTTATATAGAAAAACCTAAGGAATCCTAAAAGCAAGTAAATGAAGGTGCCACCAGTGATAACTGGATTTGGCAAGGTCAGTGTTCAAAAATCAATTGTTTTCCACCAAGGAACTGTTTGAAAATGAAATTCAAAAAAAATCCATTTACAATACTGTCAGATACTACTGACATGAAATACTTAGGGATGAATTTAACAAAATACATGTAAGACCTGTACCCTGAAAACTACAAAGCACTGTAGTGAAAAAGACCAAAATAGGCCATGTTCACACACTGGGAAACTAACTCTTGTTGAGATCAAAATTCTTTCCAAATAGGTTCGTGGATTCCTAGAAGCCCAACAGGTTTTGGGGTAGAAATTGAGAGCTGGTTCTCCAATGTGAGGGAAATACAAAGGACTCAGCACATCCAAGGCAATCTTGAACAAAGTTGGAGGACTTACCTCACTTCCAGACTTGACCAAAATAGCAATTACGTGGTGCTGGCATGGGGAGGTGAGGGTGCAAATAGGTCAGTAGGTCTTTTCAACAGTGCCAGAACGACTGGACAGCGGTGTAGAAAAAAGTGGATCTGATCCTAATCTGTTACCATCCACAAAAGTAACTCAAAATAGATGATGGACCTCAATGTAAACCTAAAATTTTACAGTTCCTAGAAGAAAATAATGAGACTACAGGTAGGACAGGAATAGTCCAGTGCTTCAGACTAATAAGCCATGAAGAAAACGAGTATCAGACTACAGACTGGGAGTATATTCTGGGAAAACAGTCACAAAATATATCTGACAAAGAGTTTATATCCAGGATATATAAAGAACTCCTACAACTCAAAACGAACCACCCAATCAACAGCCCCCCAATAAACACAAAGAATGTTATAGATGCAAAATAAAACTGCAATGAAATGCCACTCTGTACCCTCCAAAATGGCTACAATTAAACTGACAATTCCAAATCTTGGGGACGTTGAGAAGCCACCAGAGCTGTCCTACATCATTAGTGGGAGTAAAATGGTGTAGCCACTTTGGGGTGATGGGAACATTATGTACCTGGATAGGCATGTGGGTTAGATGGGCACATACATTTGTCAAACCTACTCAATGGTACCCTTGAAATTTGTGTAGCTTCACTGTATGCAAATCTTTACCTATGACAAGACTCCAAAGTGAAATGTTAAATCATTGTGGTAACTTCTCAATGTTTTAAAAACAGTTCTAAAGAGACCCAGGAAATCACCTGTTCAGTTTAGTAACAGTGACAATTCTTAAACTTTTAAATATGCACCATGTACCATGCTATTTTGCACAGCATTCTCCTTTAATCAACCCTAAGGATACAGACTACACCCCGTTTTACAGATGAGGAAAGTAAGGCTCAGCGCAGGTAACATGCCCTGTCACACACGTCATCTCAACACCCCGCATAGAATTTGGGTTTCTTCTGATGACTCACCTTTCCCCACTAAACTCGACAATAAAATGCAAACTCAATCTGCAAGATAGAGATTACCGATTTTTGGCCAGATTCTGATCTCAGTAGTGTTTTGTGTGCTGGCAGCTTTAAATCAATTTCAAGCAAACGTAAGAGTGTCAGAACATTTTTAGGAAGGCTCATTTCTCACCAGGCACCCTTTCCTAGTCCGGTGGATCTTCACCCTTCTTCATATCAAGTCATATGTGGAAACTTCTGTAAAATACAGTTTGGAGCGAAGGGTTGAGAGGCCTGAGGCCTGCTTGTATCCTGCCCTCCCAGCTCACTTCCACAAAGCCTGTCCTAGGTCATGAGTCCAGTCTTCCTTCCAAAGATTAGCTGACTCCTCTAAAGGATGGACGTTCAGAGGGGCGCATGTACGTTCCCGACTACACGCATTCAGGCACATGTAAAGATTCACAAAAAGAGTACTTGCCCCTGAGTAGGATGCATCTTGATACCTTTTGTGTTAACCACCAAATTGATTTCGTGACTATCAATACTTCAAGACCCATCTTTTGAAAAATATTGCTCTAAGGTACGCGCTGATTACACTTTATTGACAACACCAGAGCAAACTGGAGAACTCGCATAGACCAAGGGCAGGGGCCAGTAGACACAACTTCTATAGAGACAGATGGTAAGAAAAAGTCACATGGAAAACATCTCAGTGCTCTCCAAGTTTTAGGTTTATAACGTAAACAAGGAGTTATTCCAATTCTTGGGAAAACAGAAATCTCTTCTCACTTAAGCCTAATACAAATAGGCTAGAAAGTAGGTGTTTATTTTTAACCTAAGTTGGAAGCAGAGACTGATGAAATAGCAGCCAGAGATTTCCTTAATAAGCTATTTGCTTTGAGTTTCAAGCTCTAGGCTTACATTTTCTTTGAAGGAGTAATCAAGCCTTTCCTTCTTATCCAAAGCGGGAAAGGAGAGGTCATAAATGAAGAATCTGAGGTAGCTTTGCAGTTCTAGAAGCTGCTATGAGCCAGGTATGAAATGGTCACCCTTGACCTAAGTGGGCCTGCCACCCGCTGCCATATTTATACTGTTCTTTGAACAACTGAGAAGACTCACCAAACACTTTCAAACTGTTTCACAGCGGCTTTGCTGCTTGAAACTACTGTCTTCTGTTGCCTTAAACCAACAGAGGACAGACCAATATAGCTCAGGCTGTGTGTGTGGGGCTGCCTGCCCAGTGAAAGGAAGACAAGATAACCAAACACCTGAAGAGCAGAGTAACGTACAGCTCACACCTTAGTCAAGGTCAGAATGATTCATACTTTACCTGGCTCCAGAGTGGTGGGGAAAGAAAATCACAGACTTAAGATTCCTGAAATGTAAATTATTTTTAATATATTTAAAAGCACACAGAAGTCTCCTTGATTTATAAAAAAATAAATACATGACAGATTTATTCATGATCTTGGGGCTCTTATGAGGTAAAACTTTTTAATGGATGTGGTGCGTCGATGTAAAACAAACATGATCTGTTACACACAGAAGCATATTCCAGTTGTAAAAGCAAATTCCTTCAAGGATCCGAACGAACAAAGATCAGTCCTCCACTGTGGAAAGTGTGTCCAGAGCTGGGGGAGGGGACTGGGCCCAGGCTGGGGTCCTCTGACCAGCCAGCCTACAACCTCCAGAGCCAGGGCACAAAGACAGGGCCCAGCAGCTCCCATGGCCGCTCTGCAGGTCAGCCAGGCTTCTGAACAAATGACGAACGTGGGCCCCCGCAAAGGCTGCACAGGACTCCCGGCCTCTGCTGTGACTGTGATGCACGGGAGTGACTGTTTTGTCCTCATTTGTGGCTCTGTCTTAAGGTTGAGAGCAGAAGACTCAGAAGGTGTGCTCATTAAATATTTTCATTGTAACACTGAATGGAAATCAAGATCCTGCCCGTGAGCGCGGAGCCCAGAAAACACGGGACCCTCACGCTGGGCTTTACTGGAGACCGGGAGTTCGGGTGAGCGAGCATGCGCTTCCTCAGGGGGCAACAGGGGAAGTGCTTTCTCCAGCTGACATGCTCTCCAGGGCAAAGTCTGGCCTAAGATACTTGGCAAGGCTGCGTAAAATGGGAATATGGGAATCAAGTTTTACCCCCGTAACACACAACATAAAAAACCAAAAATCCAGTCTCGTTAGTAGACAGCTAAATTCTGATTAAAACCTGAAATGTTTTTGTGAAATCTTCAACAGGCTGGAATGTATCTGATACAGTTTAATCTGTTGTCTCTTTGGCTATCTTTCAATTAGATCTAGAAACTGTTCTGACACCCTCCATCCTATTTTGCCTGTAGTTCTTACATCGGCTAGCTCTCCTCAGGGAAGTGACCCGTAGCCACCTCCCTAATAGTGAGGGTGGACCTCTGAATAGAAGAGGCCTTCGGCAGAAATGGCATCTCCAAGGCCCACGGTTCGAACGGGATCTTTACACACCAGTACTGGTGTGAAGTGGAAGGATACCCCCTCCCTGTGCCACTCTGCGACCGGCCTGCTGGGGTCTATCACGATCCTGGAGCCGGCCTCTGAGTGGGAAGTCATGAACTCGCGGGGCGCCCTCAGGGACACTCGGCTGGCATCTATGGTCTCTGTCGCGCAGGCCTGTGTCCCGGCTACGCGAGCTCCCGCAGCCACAGCTGCCAGCTGGTTGGCCCAGTGTCCATCTACGGTTGCCAGGATGTGGTAGACCAGCGTGTGGAAATGGATCCTGGTGAGGTCTGAGGCTCTGCTTTTACTCCTCCCATGTTCCTTCAAGATCCAAAAGAGGATGTCGCTGACCATACCCACATCAGGGACACCATTCCAGGAAGAGAGGGACGAGTGGGGTCCAGATGCCGCCTGGCTGAGAAATAACAGCTCCTGTTCGTTCAGCCCAAGGGAAGTCACCGCGGGGAAGACCTGCTAACAGAAACAAAGCGGAGGTTTCTTCCTGATGAACATCCAACTCCCAAGATGCCTCAGGACACAGCCAATGACTGAAGTCAGGGAAGGCAGGCAGTATGGCATCTTTCTTCCTACCACAGGACTCCCCAACCCTGATGCACACGCTGGGGAAGTGTCGGACCACAGGTCGCTGCTCTGGCTATTGCACCTCTAACTACACCCTCATTATCACTTGGGATTTGACCAGAAAGTTGCAGTCACACCGTTTTAGACTCAGTCTTTTGTTATATTCATCTAAGACAAAGGGCAGAGGGAACACATATTTCGTATTGCTTTCCATGGGCCTCGCTTTTGCCTTTGCATACACAGCAGACCCTCTTCCTACTGGTGGGACTGGGTTCCCGGTTCCTGAACACCAGCAGGTGCTGTACCAGTAAATGAGGGCCCTACCAACACAGTCAGGGTCACATGGTTCCGTGTACACAACACCAAGAAGCAAGGAGAAACATTTCAGGTTAGAGCTAAGCTTTTTAAGCAGGTGTGGGGTAGGGAAGACTGTATTCAGTAATAACTGTGTGCAAAAGGGTACTGAATGGAAGCCGCTAAGCCTGTTTCTGTCTCAAGGGGAACCACTGTGTCTAACTCACTATCTCTTACTCAGCACTTCTCTCCTTAGAGCCAGAGAACTGCACATAAGGTTGTGCAAGAGAAAGGAGCCCCTGGAGGGAGGGCGGGAGGGGGAGGGGTATGTGTGGGTGCATGTGAATATATTTATTATTTAAAAACCAATGGTCTAGGGGTGCCTGGGTGGCTCAGTCGGTTGAGCGGCCGACTTCGGCTCAGGTCATGATCTCACAGTCTGTGAGTTCGGGCCCCGTGTAGGGCTCTGTGCTGACAGCTCAGAGCCTGGAACCTGCTTCGGATTCTGTGTCTCCCTCTCTCTCTGCCCCTCCCCTGCTCACACTCTGTCAGTCATTAAAAAAAAAAAAAAAAAAAAAATTAAAAAAAACACAAAACAACAAAAAGAAACAAAAAACCAATGGTCTGTACCTTTGCCAATGTAATAGCACCTCCATTTATGGCATGTTGTGTGCCGGGCCCTGAGTGGATGGCTTTATTTCATTCCATTCTTACTGTAACCCTCTCAAAGGAGAGATCGCCTCTGTTTTACAGATAAGGGAACTGAGGCTCAGAAAGGTTAAACAGACACACAGAAAATGAAATAAAAATGGCTTTAAGTGAAAAGATAACGTCAAAAGAGAAATGCAAATTAAAAACTCTACTGAGAAATAGCAAGTGTGAAACCCAACGTAAACTGTGGGCTGTGGCGACCTGAGTGTAGGGTCAGGCACTCACAGCTGTGACACTGCAGGGCAGCGAGGTGCCGACGGGGGAGGTGGTGGGCTTGTGTGTGGCAGGTATATGGGAATGCACCACGTGCTACTCACTGTTGCTATGAACTAAAACTGCCCTAAAAAGTAAAGTCTATTAAAAGAAGACAGAAATATTCAAGTATTTTTCACCTATCAGATTGGTAAAGAATACAAGTTTCTAATCACATTCTCGTGGCAAGGAAAAGAGGGAATAAACACTTGTAAAGATTTCTAGCAGCAGGAAATGGGCACAGCTCTCACGAAGGGTGTCTTGGCAGCATTAAATTTACAAAGACCTTCTCTGCTTCACCTAACAGCTCTTCTGAGAATTCAACATATGTACCTACTTACTCTCGGGGAAATGAAAATCCTGTACAAGTTTCTCCCCTGCACCTCCTGATGGGCCAGCAAAGGACAGAAACCAAGATGCCCAAGATGGGCTAAGCAACCTGGGCTCCCTTTCACTGCCTGGCTGTGAAAAGACAGGATGCTTCCCAGGGGATGGTGGAGAAAAGGTCTCCAAAGTCCCATCAGTGAGAAAAAGCAAAATGCATAATGGTCTGTGTTCGGTGTGCTGTGCTATCTTTTGGGGTAAAAAAAGGACAAAAAAAAAAGGATATATTCCCACATTTGCTTATACTTGTACACAGTGACTCTGGTAGTATACAGATAAAACCAAGAACGTTACTAACAGTGGCAGGGAGACTTCACTGTATCTTAGTATTTTTTGGGTTTTGAACCACATGAATATATTACCCATTAAATAGGTTAAATACTAAAACAATGAAAGGTTAAGTAACTTGCCTAAGTTGATAAAGCTAGAGAGCGGCAAACTGGCATCCCAACCCCGGCTTCCGAAGTCTGTGTTCAAGCACCACACTCCCAGATCTACCTAAGCACTGCTGTTGCCCAGAGGCAGGAGTTGAATACCTTGGTGCCTGGTGGTAAGGGAGTGAAGCTCCCCTAAAATTCTTCTCCCTCTGAGCTTCTGGAGTTTCAACTGAAAGCAGCTGAGCTGGACCTGTGGTTTTCTCCTTGGAGTTCTACCGCAAAAACCATTCACTTTCAACTTCTCCACTCCGGGAGAAACAGGACCCACAAAATCCATCAGTTACGCTGCCATACTTCTAACCTAGTAAGAGATCCTGTTCCAGAATGGCCATGACTCCTTATCTGGATCTCCATGGCCCCAGGACTGCATGACAGAATATCCACACCTCAGTAAGCCGGCCCCTGAGCCCAAAGAGCTGGCCCCACTGGACAACGGCGCTTCTCAGCAAGGCCCACGAGGATGAGGGCGCCAGAGGGCCTCACGTGCTGCCCATGTGGTTACCTGATGCACAATGCTCCTCATGAGCTCCCTGTTGGTCATACTGGCCAGCTCTAGGTGAACTGGAATACCAGTGGGGATGTCAGAAATGGAGGTCACAACCTGCGAACAGAAGAGGGCAGCGGTGCCATTAAAGACAGAAGTCACGCAAGAGGGAAGAAAGGGTCAAGGCCGAGAGGCAGTGCCTCAGGTCACTGCCTTCTTTGCCTCATCATGAAAACTCTAAGCCTCGGGAGTCACCACAGCCTCCAGACAGGGGACACTGTTCCCAACAGGGAGGCGCTGGGGTCACAGACTCAGGGCACTGAGAACCGCCCCTGTGCTCACAGAGCCAGCCTATTCCTGGGGGCCTACATGGAGCGGCTGGCTCCAACCGCTGCAGAGCCTGCAGGAGCCGCGGCACAGCTGATGTGAACAGATGACACACACGACACAGAGGACGCAGACCACAAACACCGCGGCAGCCACGTCCAGCGTAGCGCAGGGTGCAGAGGCTCAGGCAAGAGGTCCTGCCCTGTCCTACTCAAGCTGCCGTCCGTGTGCCTGAAAAGAGCACCAGGAGGCAGGCCTCAGAGCCGGCTGCCACGAAGGGTCCTGCGGAGGCCAGGACCGAGGACTAGGCAGCGCAAGCTGCAGAGGCGGAGAGAGGCAGGAACCTGAGGAAAAACGCCAGCTGAGATCCGTCAGATTCTGTGACAGTGCTATTACCTCCAAGAGCCTCTTCCTCTGGAGCTCCTTGCTTTGTCCCTCCATCATGTGCAATCCAGAGAGGACCACCAGGTCTGGCTGAAACTCCTCCAGGCTAGACACAAACACCTCCAGCATATTCATGGCCCCGTTGGAAAGGTCGTGGGAGAAGATGAAGCGGTTGGCATGGGGAGCTTTTAACCGGCCCCACTCCTCCCCTAGAAAAGCCCAGTCAACACAATGGGAAGAAAAGGAAGAGGCTTTAAGTCTCCTAGCTGTGGGGGGCTAGCAGGGGCCTCACTGGAGCCCTGGCTCTGGGCATGCTGGCCGCTGGCTGCTGGCTGAGTGCAGCCCAGCTACAAGGGCCCAGCCAAGCACGGCGCTGCATCCAGGAGGACCGTGGCCAGTAACAAAACAAACAAACCAAACCCCAACCCCAACCCCAGAAAACAACACACGCGTCCTGGGTGCTCTATGCCTTTGGCAAGGGGCTGGCAGTTAGTCCCGGGAAAGCTCCACTGCCCGCTGAACTCTCACAGGATACCTGTGTCTCTGCCTACGGGACATGCTGTCTTTCTTGAAGCACTTGCCGACTTGCAGCTGTGCCCCGACCACCTTTCAGTTAGCCAGGACCTACAGAGGCTGAAATTCCAAGAGTCAGGCTGACTGCAGCCTTTCCTCCCTGCTGTCACGGGTGGTTTCCCCGCACTTGATCCAGAAGGCAAGAGTATCTGGCTGCTCTAGCTTCCTGTGAGTGAGCTGCTTTGGAATAATGCCTGCTCCAGACCAAGGTTAAATGCTACTTCCTAAGTGGCTGCTGACTGCTCCAGCCTGAGGTGTATCCACAGAGATTTCCCTCCACATGGTTTGAATAGCATTTTGCTTTGAGCTATCTCTTCTACTTCTACTGTTCTGAACTAGTACTCAAACTTATACCATCCCTTAACTTCTTACACATTTGTGCCACATCTCCCCAAATGGAATGCCAGACTGTACGCCTCTGATTCTCGCAGTACTTGTCACAGGCCCCTGCGGAGAGTGCCACTCAGCATCTGCTGAACTGACGCCAGCAGAGGGAGGCCAGATCCACAGCTGGCTGGGTCTTCTGGTGGGGGGAAGGAGCTTAGGATCTGGGCCTACCCACGGGAGTGGCTCTCAGCACCTGCCACACATCAGAATCTCCTGGGGAGCTGAGTTTTAAATGTCAGGTGGTGAGGCCCACCGCTGGAGATCCTGACGTGTAGGTGAGTGGAGAGCTACCTATTAGGACTCCACAGTTGCCAAGCATTTGAGGAGTGCGCTATGGCTGGGAGTCCTGAAGCAGGACAGGCGACAGGGGCCCTCCTCAGGCTCACCTGTGAAGCCTCACAACTGGAGCACAGTGCTCTTTCTTCTCTCAAGACTTGGTAGAAAATCTGGAAACTCAGTCAAGCCAAGGGCCACTGCTACTAGGCTTGCTACTGCTTAGGGCAATTCCTAAATGAGCCCCTGCCAGCATGGAGGTACTTCTAGAGACTCCAGGGGCAAGGATTTATTATCTAGGCTTATACAGCTTTTCCTCCAAATGAAGGATTCATCCCATTTACAAAATTAGAGTCCATACGCTGAAGCCTGGTTTCATACTGGTTCTAACATATTTCCTGGATGTTCCTTTAGAAAGTTCTTCCCCAAGGCAGGCAGACCCAGCAGAGGGTTTCCTCCTACTGCAGGCTGATTAACGGACTCCAGTCAGCAAACTGCTTCCTCCTTTCTACAACAGGCCTCCCCAAACAGAAGCCTTGCCTCTCCATGGGGAGTGTGCATGAGTGTGCAGGGCTGACTCTGGGGCGGGTGCCAAGGTGGGGAGAGCCCATCCTTCCTTTGCTTTGAGTTCAGCTTTACTGAATCCATTCCTCTGAAAAACATATTCTAGGTGTATAAAAATCTACGAAAGCAGAAAAAGACATTTCCTATTTACTAAACCCCAACACAACGGTTATGTCCGTTAAAATGCCACATGCTTTCAATTCCTGGCCCCCAGCTTACTAGTTGTCCAAAGAACATACCCAATAATGGTCCACACAGCTGAGTGCAACACTCTCATCCTGCCTCTACTTCAAAGACCCAGAGCAAGCGCGGCCTCCCCTGCAAAGTCTGTCCTAACTCTGCCGATCCCAGTAGACTCGGCCGCTTCGGCCCCTGGGCCACTGCTGTAACTGCTTCAGGATGTGGCACATGATTTTGTAATCATCTGCTCAGGAGCCCATGCGCTGTCATGAGCTGTGAGCTGAGCACAGGGCCCATGTCTGTCACCAGCCCCTCCGGCCTCACACTGCCCCACATGCAGCTTGTGAACAAATGAATGAGCAAAGGAACAAGCGAATGAGAGGAAAGACTGAGGACTTCAATGCCCATGACAACAAAAAATATGGATATGACCCCAAATCCCAACCACCATCCCCCAACTGACAAGACTCTACACAAGGGGAGAAATCCACGCCAGCATCCTGCAGAGGGCAAGACCTGGAACTGACCCTTAAGGAGCGAGGCTTCTGAGAGGCACTGCCTAACTTACCCCCAGAGAAAAAGCAACTTAGCATTCAAAGTAATTTCCCCAGGGAAAAAGGGAGAGAGGCAAAACACACAGGCCTCTGCAAGGCAAAGACAAGGAGGGAAGTGGAGAGCTGCTCCCTGGCTGTTCCCACAGGACACAGGACTGATGGAGTGGCCCAAGAGCGACAGAACGACTGGAACGCAGACAGGGTGAGCCGGGAACCTCCATGTCCCCCTGTTCTCACAGAGCTCCGAGCGTGTTTCTCTAAGGGAGCCCTTCACTCAATTTACCATCCTGCCCTTCGGCCACGAAGTCAGCAAAACCTGTGCAGTGACTCAGTGGGTCCCGGACCAAAGCCTGGAAACAAGCTTCTCTGGGCAAGTCTGGCAGAGGAGGAGGAGGAAATGAAAGGTGACAAATCCTCTCTGGGAATTTATTCATCGAAATTTGAGAGAAGCTGGGGACGGACTTCTGTAAGAGAAGTGACCTGAGGGCTTCTGCCACCAGACCAGGTTCCCTCCAGGGCCAGTAGACTGTAACTTCATATGAAGTTCAATAGGAAGCCCTGCTTTGTTCTAAGAAAATAAGACCCAGAAAAGAAAAACTGAAGTGTGGGGTTCATAAACCCAAGGATGGAGATAGTCTCCTTTCAAGACAAGCTGTGCCATCTTCTTACCTCCACACGAGGCATAGCTGTCAAATCCAACAGCAAAATCATACTGAAGAGAGCAGTCTCCCCACCCTGTGGTCAACAGGGAACATGACAGAAACCAGGAACTAGAAAGGTCCCCAGTTCACCATGTGAGCGCCAGCAGGGTGCAAGTGACAGGACCCCGGAACTGGCAGCAGCAGCAGCACCTCAAAGGCATTGTTAGCTCTTCTAGACCCTTCCAAGTCAACAGTCCTATTCGTGCCTTCCACTGAAGGAGCTCACAGTACACAGTAACCTCTTAATCTTTACCACAATCTTCAGGCAGTAAGAATGATCATTCTGAGTTTCTGAGAAACTCAAAACTTGTATATGATTAAATGTGAACTGCCCACTGCAACACCTTGTCCATAATGTTCAGATCTTACCCTTCCTAAAGTTAGGAAGCTTCCTGCTCCCAATAAGCACCCAAGAGAGAGCCAGAAACAATTCCTTTTTTCATACATGGAGAAAAAACCAATTTTTAAGAAACACTCTATTTCATATCTTAAAGTTAATTACTCTAGAAGGTGAGGTTCTCTTAATTGACTTGGAAGCAGTTCACTGAAGCTTATTAAGTACTGCTTTAAGGGACCAATTAGTCTGTTTATATGCTTGAGTCTTTAACTTAATAATGTGTTGAATCAGAAATTCAAGAGTCTGAATACCGAGCAGAGAAAAGATCCAACAGCAAATACACAGAATTAAATACAGTTAAAATATGTTTAGGTATTGGGGCGCCTGGGTGGCGCAGTCGGTTAAGCGTCCGACTTCAGCCAGGTCACGATCTCACGGTCCGGGAGTTTGAGCCCCGCGTCGGGCTCTGGGCTGATGGCTCAGAGCCTGGAGCCTGTTTCTGATTCTGTGTCTCCCTCTCTCTCTGTCCCTTCCCCCGTTCATGCTCTGTCTCTCTCTGTCCCAAAAATAAATAAACGTTGAAAAAAAAATTAAAAAAAAAAATATGTTTAGGTATTTAGGATTCTCTGAGAATCTGATCTGTAGTTTATGTAATACGCAAAATCTACTGGGAATGACACCAGATAAGCTGGATTTGGACTGATCAAACACTGGAATATTATATAATGGGAAATAATATAAGTGTTGGGAAATACAAACACTTCCACTTACACACCCAAGGGAAAATAAAATGCTTCAAAAGATGTTTGCCAGAGGCTTGGAATCAATCAATCCTAAGCAGCTTGGAACAGTTGGCCAGAAAAGCCTAGGGCACAATCCAGCACAGTGTTGAACAGATGTTACCTGCCCTTCTCTTTCCTTAGTAATAAAGAAAAACTTTGTATATTTATGTTTAACACATTTTCACTCAAGATGCCTACTTTCCTATAGCCTGATTTCTCTTGGGTTTAGATCAGTTGTTTGTAGATCTGAGAATTTTCTTCAATATTGGAATACTCCATCATTCTTGAGACAATGGCCAGTATCAGCTCAGCAGAAGCAAGAGGTCAGGAAACTTTCGGTAAAGCAAGAAAGTGTCCCACCAATTTACAAAGATAAATTTCCAGCATAGTCACACCCCAATCTGACAACACACACGGTTCCCTGTCCAGTCTCACACCATTACTTAGTCATTTCTCTTACCTGCTTGATACTCTAAAATAAGGTGGAACTCATCCACTTCCTGCAATGACTCTGGTGGAACAAATACATTATCATCAAGAAGTTCATGTAGCTTTGGGCCAACTGGACCGCAAAGAAGAACCTGGAGACAAGAAATAGGAAACCTTTCAGAAGACCTGTCCCTGTTCCCATGGAATCTATACAGTAACAGAAAAGGTACATCCAGACCACTTCTATTCATTTCAACAAAAAACTAGAATCCAAATCTAAATTCCAAAGTTTTTGGTCTGGAGGGGCTATTACCAGGACTTAGGCCTCTGGAAGGAATGGCCATCAGAAATGAGGGGCTGACAAAAGACCCAAGTAATACAGGTTAGGTACCTATGTAGCTGCTGAATCTCCTACACCCTGCTAGGGACTGAATATCTGTGTCCTCCCCCAAATTCCTATGTTGAAGCATAACTGCCAATGTGATAGTATTTGGAGACAGAGCTTTTAAGAGGTAAGTAAGGTCAGACGAAGTCATATGGGTGGGGTCCTAATCCAGTAGATTGGTGGCCTCCTAAGAATGGGAAGGGGGAGACAGAGCTCTCTTTCCAGCATACCCACTGAAGAAAGGCCATGTGAGGACACAGCAAGAAGGTGGCCACAAGCCAAGAAAGCAGCCCTCAGAAACTGGATCCTGTTGGAACCTTGATCTTGGACTTTCCAGCCTCAGAACTGTGACAAAATAAATTTCTGTTGTTTAAGCTGCCCAGTCAATGCCATTTTGTTGCTATGGCTGTCCAAGCAACCTAAGACCCACCCCACCTCCACTTTCTTTACTCACTCACGTCCTGTATCAGCAAACTGATACGGGATGTTGTCTGCTCAAAGCTGCCAGATAAAAGCAATTGTTTGACTTTTACACAATATAGAAAAGAGCCTCCCTAATCACAGGACCCAATTTGTGGAATCGGGCTCTTTATTGCACTCAGCTGCTATGTGAGCAGGCTAGCCTTCCAGAGATGGGAATTAAAGAGCACACCTCAATTCAGCAAGCTGGGGGGAAGGTGCTCTGCAACATTCCCCAAACCTTTTCTTCAACTCTAACCTGGGCCTCTCCCTGGCTATTCCTTCAAGAAGTCATTTCACATCTGCTGCTCTTCCTCAGTTCCCATAAGCTGCTGCTCCTGCCCTGACAGGTCTGGACCCCACTCCCAGCCAGACCAACAGGCTCAAAACCACCAAACAATGAGGGCTTGCACAGGGATGTAAAGGAATGTCCTCAGAGATGATCAACACCACTTCAGATTTAATATGCTCCACCCAGAAGCTTCAAAAGGCATTTACTTGCTAATTAACTGCTTGTTGGTACAACTACCGCTTTACTTCTTTTCTCTAATTCCTGGCCAGAACTTCAGTCTCCAAGATGAGGCAAGAGGGCCAAATTTACCCTCCTGCCCAAAAACAACCATAAAAAACAGACAAAATACTTGGAAACAATGGTTTTCAAAAACACTTAAACATTTAGCAACAAAGGACAATGAGCCATAACAGGAAAGAAAAATAAACCCAAAACAGAGTAAAACGTACAAATGCCCCATCAATAACCTTAAAAGAATTTCCAGATATACACATTCTGAAAGAATTCATTACCAGCAGACCTGCACTACAAGAAACGTTAAAGGAAATCCTTCACGCAGAAGGAAAATGATACCAGATGGAAATAAAGACCTAAACAAAGGAATGAAGAGCACCAGAAATGGTGACTCTGGATAAGCACTTAAGACCTTTTTCTTATTATTTAAACCTCTTCAAAAGATAATCAACTGCTTAAAGAGCAATACTAACAACATAGAATGAGGTTTACAATATACACAGGAGTAAACCATATGACAATAGCACTATAAAGACCGGAGGGGAGAAATGGAAGCACCTATTTACTATAAAGTATTTACATTATACATGAAGTATGATATCACTGACAACAGACTGTGACAGCTAAAAACATACACTATAAATCTTAAGGCAACCACTATAATAAGGAATTATAACTAATAAGCCAAAGAAGATAATATGAAAGCTAGAAAATAATTCAAAAGAGTGCAGAAAAAGAGGAAAAAGGGAAGATAAAGAGCTTGGACAGAAAATAAATAGCAAGATGTCAGATTTAAAGTTATCTAATCTATTAAGAAATACATTAAATGCAAATGGCCTAAAACAGTCCAATTCAGAGAGACTGTCAAAGTGGATTAAAAACCAAGCCCCAACTGGGTGGCTCAGTTGGTTAATAAGTAGCCGACTTTGGCTCAGGTCTTGATCTCATGGTCTGTAGTTTCAAGCCCTATGTCGTCGGGCTCCGTGCTAATAGCTTAGAGCCTGGAGCCTACTTCAGATTCTGTGTCTCCCTCTCTTTCTGCTCCCTCCCCTGCTCACACTCAGTCTCTCAAAAATAAATAAACATTAAAAAAAAAATTAAAAAGCAAGCCCCAAATATATGTTGCCTACAAGAAATATATTATTTATTAACTAAACTATGAAATCTAAGTCACCATTTTATTTACCATGCAACTACTAGTATGTTGTTTTCATCTGGTTACATTATTACTATTATTTTTTATTGAAGTTTGGTTGACATACAATGTTACATTAGCTTCAAGTGTACAACATAGTGATTCAACAAGTCTATGTGTTTTGCTATGCTCACCACAAGTGTAGCTAGCTACCATACCTCATCCAGACGACGCTATAACAATACCATCAGCTAGATTCCCTATGCTATACCTTTCATCCCCATGACTTTTTCATTCCATAACTGGAGGCCTGTACCTACCACTCCACTTCACCCATTTTGCCCATCCTCTCACTGCCCAAGCAATACATTTGAAATAAAGACATCAATAGGGAAAAAAGAGAAAAATGGGAAAAGATATATCACACTAACACTAATCAAAAAAAGCTATGATAGCAAATTTTAATCAAAATGGCTTTCAAAGAATATTTCAAAGAACATAAAATGACTTTCTTTATGCTTGGCAATGATAAAGGGAGTCAATTCATGAAGAGGATATAACAATCATAAATAGTTATACACTTAACGACAGAACTTAAAAATACAGAGCAAAAAGGTATAGAACTGTGAAGGAAAAAAGTCTACAAGTACACATGTAGATGTCAATACCTGCCCCACAATAATTAATAAATCAAATAGACACAAAATCAATAAAAATACAGAAGACCTGAACAACATTCCCAACCAACTTGGTCTGACATTTATAGAACATTCCATTCAACGATAGCAAAATATACATGCTTTTAAGTGCACACGAGACTTCACCAAGACAGACCATTTTCTAGGCCATGAAAAAGTCTCAATAAATTTAACAGGAGTCAGAGAAGCACATTCTCTGACCAGAATGTAATTAAAATAGAAATCAATAAAAGAAAGATATCTGGAAACACCTCAAAATGTTTAGAAATGAAATCACACACTTTTAATAGTTCATGGATGGGCTATCAAACAGCCCATCTCAAGAAATCACAGAGGTATTAGAAAGCACTATGAACCGAATGACAAGAAAAACACACTGTATGGACAGCTGAGGATGCAGTTAAAGAAGTATTTAAGGGGAAATTTATAGCACTAAATCCCTGTATTAGACAACAGGAAAAGTCTCAGATCAATGACCTGGGCTTCTACCTTAAAGTAGAAAGAGAAGAGCAAGTTAACAACGTAAGAACTAATGAAATACAAAAGAAAAAAATAATAGAGAAAAACTGATAAAACCTAAAGCTCATTATTGATTAAAAAGATCAATAAAACTGATAAACCTCTAAGCAAACTGATCAATGGGGGAAAAAAAAAAGGATCATGAGGGGAACTTGCAAAGTATAAAGATCCTGAGCTCACCTCCTCCCACAGATACACCGAGGCTGCAACTGCATATAGAACAACTCTTCCTGCGAATGACCTGAAGAGCAGCAGGAACAACTCTTCCACATTAAAGACATAAAGAAAAAGACATACTGAGAAGAGCAGAAGGGAAAGAGACACAGCCTGGCCGTGAACCAAATCATCGATGTGCTGACCCGCAAGTGGGAGGGATATCATGGATGTGGAGGTCTTCCCTGAGGAGTGAGGGGTTCAAACCCTACACTGGGCACTCCTTGCCCTATGATCTGCATGGGAAAGAGAAGCCTCCGTAGTATCTGGCTTTGAAAATCAGAGGGGCTTAACTCTGGGGGAGCAGGAAGGTTATAGTAAATGGAGACTTCACTATTAAAGGGCCTGCACAGAATCTCAATCACTCCAAGACCCAGTGCAGAGGCAGCGGTTTGAGAAGCACCTGAGCCATGGAAGACACTTACTAATTTTAGGACATGTGCTGGAAGGACAGGGATCTGCAGGAACTTTCTCTGGGAACAGAAGCTTAGCAGGTACCATTTTTTTGCCCTCCTTCAGCCTAGCTGGCCTGACGCTAAGGAGCAAAAGTTCTAAGACTATCTATCTACTTTACTACAACTGCTCACCCTGTTCCCACATTCTCCTGCAGACCTCTTCTGCCCAGCCTGCCCACCCTGGCAGGCACCTGTCTGAAGTGGCTCTTGCCCACCACACCTGGTAGGCAGCCTCAGCTGGGATCTGCAACCCTCCAAAGCGACTCCTGCCCCAGGTAGGGGCAGGTCACCCCAACCACCAGTACCCCTCATAGGCTAGGCCTCTGAAATAGCTAGGCAAAGCCCACCCACCAGGGTGCCTACAGCAGTTGCATCCCAGACACAATGGGTGGATGCGTGCAGCCCACAAGGCAACTCTCCGGAGTGCCTCTGCTTGACCAGGGGTGACTGTACTTGTGGGCCCCGAAGGATACCTTCTACATAAGGCCACCACCTTCAAGAGCATAAGATGTGGCTGAACTACCTAATATATAGGAACAAATACAGAGAGACAGAAAATGAGACAGAGAAATATGTTCCGAAGAAAGAAGTCAAGACCTCAGAAAAAAAGCTAAGTGAAACAGAAACAAGCAATCTACCTGATAAAAGAGTTCAATGTAATGGTCATACAGATGTTCACTGAACTTGAGAGAAGAGTAGATGAACTCAGTGCAAATTTCAACAAAGAGACAGAAAATAGAAAAAAGAACTAATCAGAACTCAACAACAACTGTGATGAAACATACACTAGAGGGAATCAACAGCAGCTTGGAGGTCACAGAACTGATCAATCTCAGAAGAGACAAAGGGGCAGAAAACCTATTTGAAGAAATAACAGCTGAAAACTTCCCCAACCTGGGAGAGGAAACAGACATCCAGGTCCAGAAAGCACAGACATCCTCAGACAAGATGAAGAAGCCAAGGAGGTCCACACCAAGAAGCATAATAATTAAAATGCCAAAAATTAAAGATAAAGAGAGAATCTTAGAAGCAGCAGGAGAAAAGCAACAAGTTAAGCACAAAGGAACATCTATAAGAATATCAGCTGATTTTTTCAGCAGAAACTGCAGGCCAAAAGGGAGTGACATGATATATTTGAAGAGCTAAAAGGAAAAAACCTACAACCAAGGATATTCTACTCAGGAGAATTATCATTCAGAACTGAAGAAGATAGTTTCCCAAACAGAAGGAGTTCACTACCACTAAACTGACCTTCCAAGAAACGTTAAAGGACTTCTTTAAGTGGAAAAGAAAGGGCCGTAACTAGAAGAAAATTATGAAAGAAAAAAACCTCACTGGTAAAAACAAACATGCAGTAAAGGTAGTCGATCAGCCACTTATAAAGCTAGTGTAAATGCAAAAGACAATAATAGTAAAATAGTAAGATCAACTATCAAACCCCTGGTTTGTGGGTTCGAGCCC